ATTTGTTCGGCAGGAATTGAATATTCAACGGCTGATTTCTCGTATCAGCAATCGCCCTTTTTCCGGCTTCCCCAACCGAAAAGGAACTGCTGATCTTTGTTTCAACATTTTCTGTTGCGATAGGGATCAGCTTTCTCAGTTTTATTGTGTATAGGCCTTGATTAGAATTTTATTGTCCGAATGCTTGACCACAAGTTTCTCCCTATGGGTAGTAACTTGAACGTGGAGAAGAAGTGGCTGTTCCCGCTCGTATTCAGTTCTTTAGTATGCATTTTCCTAGTGGCCACCAGCTTCAACATGGGGCTCCTCTCCTCTTTGAACACAATCAACTCTATTTTCTCCATGTTTCCGAGAGCCGCAGAGAAAGAAGCAATCGCAGATCAGGTCCCGCCACCTCCAGCTCCTCCTCCCCCGCCAAAATTCGCTTACCTCATATCTGGTTCGCGAGGTGATTTGGATAAGCTTTGGAGGACACTTCATGCACTCTACCATCCGTGGAACTATTACGTACTTCATCTGGATCTCGAGTCGCCAGTCGAGGAGAGATATGAGCTTGCTGCTAGGGTCGAAAATCACACCCTTTTTGCTAAGGTTGGGAATGTTTTGGTGAATAACAGGTCCAATATGGTTACTTACAGGGGTCCCACCATGGTTTCTAACACTCTTCATGCCTGTGCTATCCTCCTCAAAAAATATGACGATTGGGATTGGTTTATAAACCTTAGTGCCTCGGATTATCCTCTCGTAACTCAAGATGGTAAGCGTTTTTTCTCTCATTTTTCTTCTTTCTTTTTGGTTTTTATACCATGACTTTTCTCAGTTTCTTGAACTGTCAATTGCTCTCTTATGATTTATGCTTCCCTCATTAATACTCTTATGTTCGAGCCTGTCTCTGTGTTTTCTTTACTAAATTATATAAACTTGAACATAACTAATTTTTTTATATTTTGTAGATCTACTCCATACATTCTCGGGTTTGAAACGCGAGCTCAATTTTATAGAACACACAAGCCATTTAGGCTGGAAAGCGTAAGTCTCACTATGGATTTACATGGCCTTATTTGGACTTTTGAATTGTTGAGAAAGGTGCCATTGGTGGTTATTCCATTATCTGGTTTTTATTACAGGGGTCAGAGGGCAATGCCTTTGATTATAGATCCAGGACTCTATCAGACCAAAAAATCCGAAATATTCTGGGTCACGCCCAATAGACGATTACCTACAGCATTTAAATTGTTCACTGGTTAGTTCCTGCATTTGGTTACATTATGTATAGCGTTTGAATTTCCGATTAAGTTTTAATTTATCATGTTTCCTAGCTTTCTTTATCTTCTAGCTATTGGTAACAGTGATGTCGCCATTACAACAAAATCATTCATTGTCTTCATCCTTAAGCATCAGGGGATTAATTTAATGCAAATGGATTACATGGGCTTCCACTTAGTTAAAGAACCTGAAATCAAACTAGAGTACATAATAATCACCTGGAATTGACCTCAGACCAGAACACTCAAAATTCATAAGTACACTTCTAAGGCTCATAGATGTCTAGTGTACGTTAATTGACTTGTGTTTGCAGGAAAGTTCACTTGGATCAGGGGAGAGAGCTATAAACTTTCATACATTTTTTTTTTTTTTTTTTTGATTAAAAATGGCTACATATCATCTTCGAGTAAAATGTAGGTAATTAACAGAAAACACAAAATTGCAGGGTCGGCTTGGATGATCTTGTCTCGCGCGTTTGTGGAGTACTGCATATGGGGTTGGGACAACCTGCCCCGCACCCTTCTCATGTACTACGCCAACTTCCTGTCATCGCCTGAGGGCTACTTCCAGACGGTCATCTGCAACACGCCTGAGTTTGCGCACACTGTAGTGAACCACGACATGCACTACATCGCCTGGGACACCCCACCAAAGCAGCACCCCCACGTCCTCACCCTGAATGACACGGACAAGATGATTGCAAGTGGCGCTGCCTTTGCGCGTAAGTTCAAGGGGGACACCCCGGTCCTGGACAGGATCGACCGGGAGCTGCTCATGAGAAAGAGGAACGGGAGCTTCACGCCAGGGGGGTGGTGCGGGGGAAAGCCACGATGCTCCAAGGTCAAGAACCCCACCGTGCTCAGGCCGGGGCCTGGGGCTGAGAGGCTCCACCGCCTCCTGGAGACGATACTTTTCTCGGACAAGTTTGGTCAGAATCAGTGTAGATAGGAGAAAAAAAGTTACTTTTTAATTTGGAGAGAAAAAAATAAATAATAAAAAAAAAAAGAGTAAAACAGCAGTATGGGGCGCTTTTACTAGCGGAAATAAGGCGTATCAAATGCTGCATATACTTATTTTCGGGTGGCCTTTTTTTCAAGAAAAAAATTACAGTATATGCCTACATACATATATAACTGGTTTTGAAGAGTAGTTTTATCTCTCATGCAAACTTAACAATGAATTAATGATTGTTATCCTTTGAGCCTTTTTTTTTTTAAAGAAAAAATAGTGATAATATTGAACTCAGAACGAACAATATTCGAAATATACAGGCCAAACCCAAAAGTAAAACTGAGAGGACACGCATAAAGCGGTCTAGAACCTCAAACAGAAGAAAAGACAAATAAACAAACACCCTCCACTGCCCAAGGGCCTAGAGATAAAAGAAAACTAAAGAAAACAACTAGAAAACCTACTCAAAAGCCAACTAACCCACTAGAAAAAGGAGAAAAGAGAACAGATTATCACTTCAACTGAACAAAATCTATCCAATCCTGATGAGCAGCTTTGAGTGTAACCTGATGGGAATGAGAGTATCTTGAAATATTGTTGAGATCGCGGGTCTTCCAGAGCCACTAGAGGATGTATGTGGTGAGCTGGATTCTTGCCTCGGATGTCTCTGAAGAACCAACAGAGCAAATGTAATGCCATTAGCAACTAAATGAACAGTCCTGTGCGGGTTGCATATTCCAAGACACTGGTGAAATACCCCATAATCTAGTTGCACGAGGACAGCGAAATAAGACATGATTAACAGTTTCAGGTCCATCCCCACATAAGCTGCAAATGACATCTATATTTAATCCTCTTTTCTGCAGATTTGTTTTGACATAGAGTGCTCCAAATATGCATTTCATATGAAAATTTTAACTTTTTTCCTACCACTTTCAGTTTTCAAAGTCTTTGTCTGAGTTTGGACAATGTCTGGCCAGATAGGTTGCTATTGTCAGGGATGTCTAATGAGAGAATTTGTTCTAATGAGAGAATTTGTTCTAAGACAGATAGGAAGAGGTAGTGGAAAAAAAAAAAAAAAGAAAACTTTCTTGTTGAACTTCCGGTACTGCCTATCATTATGTCCAGGTTTAAGAGTATTAATGCTGAGAATGGCTCTGTTGTCCTGTTCGTTGAAGACTTGGTTGATCAGCCAAGAGTTCCAACCTTGCCCTACATCATTCATCAGCTCTTTGGTCCAGATCAATGCCATCATGCAATATCAATGAGAATGGGTTTAGGGTGCATAAGATTGGAGACCCTATTGACATCATCTGTTCTAGTTGTTGCCCCATTTCTGATTTCCACTGCATACCCTTTGGCAAAAATAGGAAGAACATCTATCCAATGGACCAAAGCCAAGAGCAGTTAGGAGTCTTAACAGCTTCAAATAGAGAGAAATGGGGAAAGTAGCCGTCCTTTAATATCCTGCTTACCAAAAGATGTGGCTGAGTAGAGATTCTCTACAATTGCTTGCAGATAAGGTCGGTGTTAAAGAGTTTCAGGTCAATGAACCCAAGTCCTCTATTTTCCTTTTGATGAAGTGTGAGAAAGCTCCAAGTTTTTCAATGGATTCCCTGAGATTGATCATCACATGTACTCCACCAAAATTCAGAACAAAGCTTATAAATGTTAACACATAAGGTTTTTGGAAGCTTGAAACAAGACATGGTGAACATAGAAAGAGCTTGCAGACAACCTTAATTAAAACTTCTTTCCCAGTTTGACTGAGCAGTCTTGATCTCCAATTATGAATTTTAGCATTGACTGTATCAAGGATGTACTGAAAGATTTCCAGCTTTGATCTACCAATGCCCAGATATGCTAGTCTTTTTATTTTCATTATTGTTGAAATTGGAGCAACAGAATATGAGTTTACGCTTTCATTTTTCTAGAGTAAAAAACATAGAAAATAAATTTAAAATCATTTTAAGGTCAATGACATTAATTCCAAATTTGAAATGTGGGTGAATTTGTGTTATGTAACTCAAAATAGAGTTTAAGTAAATTAAATATTGTTGTATTCGCAAACATTCTGTGTATTTGATGATTATTTGGAAGATTCAAGCAAGCTAGAATCATGCATTAAGTATACTAGAAGTATAAGGAATGAAAAAAAAAAACCGAACACGATTTCGTGATAATTTGTATACTGAAAGATATGCTTCGTTTGGACTTATCTCCATTTGAATAAAGACATCATGTTTATTCATCATTATTTTTTTTTTTTATTTTAACGAAACGATAGAACATTATAAAACAATCAAAGAGATCCAGGATACGACAGGTACTACCACAAGGGCAGAGTCAAAGGCTCACTAACAATAGCGACCCAGAAACCAAAACTAAACCATATTAACAGTCTGAACTAATGGCAAGAACAAGCTTGAATTCAAGATTAGACTTATAATAGAGCAGTGCAGGATAACAAAAGCTACACAAAACCAAAAAGGTAACCTACAACTGGACAAGTCTCTGGCAGGTAAGCCGCTAAAACAAGCCTACAACTACAACTGCAAAGGCAAGACTAACCAGAGAGAAAGAAAACATAAGAAGGTATTTGGAAAACCAACAATAGGGCACATCACTAAGCAGCAGAGCAGGACAAGAACTCTCTCCAAGATGAGGTAGCAGATTGAACAATGTTGAATTCAAATAGCCAAAAGGTTTGGAAGACCCACAAGTTCCGGGCCTTCCAAATCCACCATAGCAGGTTGGCAGTAAGTTGAATTCTTAGGTTAGTACAAGGAGGTACCTTGATGTTGCAGATCTTTATCCACGAGCTTTTGACGAAAGAGGTATCCTTAGACAAACCATCTCATGAGATAGTTGCTAGGTCCCATATTCTTTTGGATCTGGTACATTGGAAGAATAAGTGCTCAATGATTCTACATCTTCTCCACAAGACTGGCAAATAGGTCTATGGTCATCCTGTTCTTTAGGAGATTAAGAGAGACTGGCAAGATGGATGTGAAGCACATCCAAATGAAGTGCTTCACTTTACCATAAATTTTGAGACTCCAGCCTTTTCTTCTAGTGTTCAAAATCCCAACCTTCAGATTGCTTGTAACACCCCGCTTTTCGTACAATGAATTTCTAGAATAATTTTTTTTTCTTTTTATAAAACTTTTGAAAACTTTACTTGGAACTCAGGGTGCTACTTACTTTGAAAAACGTTTCATACATAATCCTTTCATAACCATAAAAATTTTCATGAACATAAACATTTCATACGTGAATATAGAACATTTCATACATGAACTTTTCCTGAACATGAACATTGAACATGGCGTTGCCTTGAGAACTTACACTTTAACTTGACTTGCATGAACCATGACTTATTTCATAAAATAAACTTTGCATAGCGAAAGCTTTTAAAACATAAATATCATAAACATTTAAACATGTGACCACCCTCGCCATCGCTCCTTTGCCAGCTCGCCAAAAACCTGGGTGTGGAAAACAAATGGGGTGAGCATTTCCACTTACTCCATGAGAGATCCCTCTATGTTATCATCCTAATCAACTATAAAGCATGAAATCGTTTTCGTATACTCCACATAGTCATGAGCTCCCGACAAGTGGTGACCCACAAGTCAAAAGACTTTCTTGTGCTCCCAACGAGTGGTGATCCACAAGTCAAAAGACTTTCTTGCTTCTACAACACTATTAGATAACTAAACACTAGAGCCTTTGCATGCAGGTGATTACATTCTTGTCACACTCCCACCACTCATCAAACTTCTTATACCACTTTATGGTGGTGGAAGAACAATGCCTCTCGAAGATGGCACGGCCAATTAGGCTTTATGAGAGTACCTTTCAATAGGTTGAAGGAAGACAACCTTTCTCTAGGCTCCGTATAGTCTTATCGACGGGGACAACCGTTCGAAGAGTGCACCAACGAAGGTTACATATAATCACTTACACCCTCTAACCCTAGCACCTAGCCACCCTCTAGAGTTATAGTCCGTGAACCTTGGTACTGCAACAAACGACTTGCTCGAATGTTGGAACATTGTATAAATATGGGTACTATGCAAGCTACTTAACTTCATTCAATATATAGATAATCAAAGAGGATTAATAAAGTAGAACTTCCCCCACCTTTTCAGTAGAATGCTCGGCTTAGACTTGAACTTGACTTTGAAAGAAACTCGAGGGCTCGACTCCTCGTAAAACTACATTCATTGGGGTCATGTCTTTGTGTCTTAACATGGAACTTACTCTTATACTTATACTTATACTTATAACAATACATATGCTTTGGAAACTTGCTCGCTTGGCTTCGCCTTGCTTGCATTCGTTTGAAAACATTCTTACTTAAATCTTTGAATAATTGAACTCTTAGCTTGCTTACTTAAGGACACCCTTTTAATCATCTACGGTTCATCATGATCTCACTCGATGCTTTACAGCTCATACATATCACATAAGCATGCTTAATAGACTTAAGAACCATTTAAACAAATATACTTAACATTTGACAAGACTTGGCATGCGCTGCATTTTTAAAACGAGCATATCTTTCAACATACAAATCGCATTAACATGATTGAAGTCTCATATTGCTTCTAAGACATGGTACTACAACTTTTATTTAGCACTCAGAAGCAAATAAGGTCATATACATGGTCCGAAACCAACAAACATTCAAGGCTCAAATGCTGTCCAGAAATTAAAATAAATCCATGCGCGGTTTTACGAAAACAGGCATCATTCACTACTCGGACAATATTTTTGCATGATTCTAGAACCACATAAAAGCTAACACACAGAACTACAATTTCAATGAAGACCTCAGGTTCATTTGAGCATATTATCATATCATAACCACACCAAACATCCAAACCTAACTGCAGCCCGGATTTAGGAAAAACTGCTCGCACAACAATTTTGTAAAAATCATAACTTATTCGTTTTAAGTCGAAATTGCACGATTGCAAAGCTTATGTAAA